GGGGAAGGAAAAAAGGGGGGGGGAAAGGAGGGGGGAGGGGGAGATTTGGGGCGCCCGCGCGCCGACTTCGGGCCTAAAACCGGCTCCGCGATCGTCATTATTTGTAACCATAGAGCATGAATTACCTCTTGAGGTCATCAGTGAGAATTTACGACTGGTCAACAAAAGCACGTGATGCCCAAACGCACCCCCCACCCTCCCCCCATATTTGGCCGCATACATAGCAAAAACGAAGTACAGTGCATCGCTATAATTCATTAATACATCATAAATCGTCAAGCACAGGGTTATAACGACCACGAGCCACAAATCAAGCCCTCCAAAATAACCCAAATGAGCTCTTACTTTGTAAACTCGTTCTCAGGGCGCTACCCAAATGGCCCCGACTATCAGTTACTAAATTATGGGACCAGCAGTTCCATGAACGGTTCTTACAGAGATTCAAGCACCATGCATTCCAGCTCTTATGGCTACAACTACAATGGGATGGACCTTAGCATCAACCGCTCAGCCTCCTCTAGTCACTTTGGGGCTGTGGGGGAGAGCTCCCGCGGTTTCCCTTCTCCAGCTCAGGAGAGCAGGTTTAGACAGGCGTCTAGCTGCTCCTTATCTTCTCCCGACTCCCTTCCCTGCTCCAACAGCGAGAGCCATGGAAGCAAACCCGCCCCGTCCCCCTCCGACCAAGCTACTTCTGCCAGCACCACCACCACCACCAATTTCACAGAACTAGACGAGACCAGCGCGTCCTCGGGAGCCGACGAGGGCACTCCAATAAGCAGCAGCATCCCCCGAGCGCAGGCAGAGCCCATCGCGACCTCCACGGCAGCGACAGAAGGGCAGGCACCTCAGATATTCCCTTGGATGAGGAAACTTCACATTAGCCATGGTACGGCTACTTCTTTTTTCCGTCCTTGTCGGTGGCGTTGGGGTTTGGGTTGCTTGATTTTTTTTGTTGTTGGGTTTTTTTTTTTCTTCCCGCACAGCCCTCTCTTTTTTTTTTCCTCTCGTGTTTTTTGCTTTGGTGGTGGGTTTTTTGGGGTTTTTTCCCCCCCCCCCGCCCCTCTTTTCCCTCCCCACCCCACCCCACTCCCTTTTTTTCCTCTCCTTCCTTTTATTCCGTGGAGGCGCTTTGATCAGAAACGCAGCTATTTCTTGCTTTTGTATTTCTTGCTCTGAGTGCTGCTTTAAAGCTGCCTCTGGCGCCTGGAGGGGGGGCGATTTTATTTTAGTTTCGCTATTCTTGCGGCGAAATGTGCGCTTATTTCAAGCTCTTAGCTCTATGTGGATGGTGGGAGAAGGTAATTTAAAAATTGAGGGAAGGGGGGGGTTCCTTGGGGGGGGAGGAGAGAGGAAAGGAAAGAATTGACCATTAAAATGGCATTATATGCACAGATGGGTCTCTCAGTCCTTTCCTACTCTTATTTTGCTGGGTGCATTCTTGACAATCTGCTCTTGACAAAACCCAAATTGCGAGGGGATACACGGGGAATAGCAAGCCCCCCCCCCCCGCCCGCCCCGGTTTTCTCCTGGAGAAAAGAAAGCAGCGTTAAACCTGATGCCCCTGCGAACAGACCCAGAAACACGCAGGCAGAGGCGAAAAAGGGAGATTTCAAGCCCTTGCTTCTCCATTTAAATTATGAATATTGAGTCGCGAATGTCGGTTCTGGAGGGGCCAAGGGTGGGGGGTTTTACACGTGTCTGAGGGTGTGCGAGAAAGAAGGGGGGGGGGCTGTTATTTGGGGAATAAGCAGCTTTCCTAGCTGCCTGAAGAAGGTGAATATTTTACCTCGGTATTAAAAAAAAATTTAAAAAATAGCCTTAAGGATAACAAAAATCCTAGCAGAAAGCAAAATCCCAAACCCCGCTGTTGTCCGTGTTATTCAGACATGACTGGACCAGACGGTAAGAGGGCGAGGACAGCGTACACTCGCTACCAGACCCTGGAGTTGGAAAAGGAATTCCACTTCAATAGATATCTCACCCGCAGGAGGAGAATAGAGATCGCTCACGCTCTCTGCCTCTCCGAGCGCCAGATCAAAATCTGGTTCCAGAACAGGAGGATGAAATGGAAGAAGGATAATAAACTGAAAAGCATGAGCTTAGCCTCGGCGGGCAGCGCCTTTCAGCCATAGATTCTAGAGGAGGAATATCGAGGAAAGAAGAGGAGGCGAGAAAGAAATACGTAAATAAATAAATAAAGCGCCGCAGATCTTAGTTTCGGAGTACTGTACAGTGAGGCACCTTCTTTTCGGCATGTTGTTGATATTTGAAAACAACGCGTATGGTACCGTTATCCCAGGACTGAGTTCATGTCGTGTTCTGTTTGGGTTTGGTTTGGTTTTTTTTTTTTTTTTTATTTTTCTTAATTAAATTTTATTTCCAGATGCTCCTCATGCTCTTGTTGTTCCTATAAATGTATGTGTCCGTGCTCTCTTGATGCTTTCTGGAAAGCTAGCATGTTTTATGTGAGCCCTTTAAATGTTATAACTTATTTATAAATCGAAAACAGATACGATTGTTTGTTTATATGTTGGCTTTTTTTTTTCCCCTTTCCTGAGTTTACTGCTTTTGGGTGAGTTCTTCTCTGCCCAAGCTAAAATCGGGGGTTCCTGCACTACAGTCGCAGAAAAAAAAATCTAAAAAACCAAACAAAAATGTAAAAAAATAAAAAAGGAAAAAAAAATAAAAAGCTCTTGTATCTTTCTGTCTTAAAATTGTCCAGTCTGTGTTTTAGTTCAAACTTCAGGCCAGGATTTCTAGTCCCAGGCTAATTCCGAGACGTACTCTTAGACGTGGGTAAACTTCACTATTAAAAAAAATGTATAAAATCGGACCAACAATAGAGTGCTCTAATGTTTGTAAATACTAGAAATATTTCTGATGTGACTAATAAACGGTTTGTAGTGGGCAGAGTGAATGCAATGTTATGTGTAAAAATGGCATCTGTCATGTCTAGCTGCCTGTTAGTACTTTGCCAATAAGCTTTTTGTATTTGTTTGTAGCTTTACTTGAAGTCAAATAAACGTTTCTCCTATTCACAAAGCCTCCCAGTTGCACTTTCTACACAACCTCTGAGACTTGCAGCCCATGCTAAAGCCGGAGCGATGCCTGGCATGGAGCTGAGCCTGTGCTGGGGGCTCTCAGCAAGAGCTCCAGCCTCTCCTGGGCAGCTCCTTGCGAGCTCCGAAACACCAAATATTCACATCAAATCCCCTTCAGGCACCGCACGGGAATAAACCGCGACCCTCCACGCTGCCCTCCGAACCGCCGTCTCCCCCAAAACAACACCGACCCCCCCACACCCCCCTACCCCCCCTCAGCGTATCAGACAAACTGGTTGCAAGTACTTCAAGTTGCAATAACACGGTATAAACGCTTCCCCGGCAGATTTACGTGCATTTCAGGATTTGTCAGTCACAGATACACACACGCACACGCACATTTGAAAAGCGAGAGGTATTTATATCCACATATATGTCCACGGAAACCTGTGTTCTATAGAATTACAGATCTGTGTGTATGTAGAGATATATTTATTATCTATCTATCTAAACCACATGTATATACATAATACATTTCCGTGCTAAACTGTACTCTCTCCGCTACCTCTCGTCCTCGGTTTATTGTGCTTAACTGCTTTTACCTCCCAGTCTCTGGCTCAACATGTAAACAACAGCTCACAGCTCTGTAACTACTGACACTTACTACAACGAGTCATTCCGGCTGCAGATAATTTAACATCATCAAAGATGGCAAATGTTGCCATTTCGCTACCTAGGGAATCTAACAAGGCACGAGATACTCCGGTTTAAAGTCGCTCGATTTGGCAAAACGCCACTGACATCTCTACAATACAGCTTAGGCTTTTTGTTCGTAGCAAGTAAAGTTGGAGCTTAAAACTTACCAAACTTAATCTCCCACTGTTTAGGTACTTCTTAAGTGATTTTGAGAGGGATGTGAAGTGGACTGTCAGATCCCAAACCATTTGCTCGCCTTCCCTTTTTTTTTTTTTTCCTTTTTTTTTTTTTTTTTTTTTTACCAATAGCAAACTATACCAAAAGTGGGTATGACATTTAGATGTCAAATGGATAGGGTTTTATCTAGAAGTTAGATCGTAAAAATCGCCCAGACCTCAGACAGATACCCCTCACTGGCTCTCAAAAGTCACGTGAGGTCCATAAAGTTAGTTTTATGGTTTTGGGGAGTTGACAATGTACAATATATTTCACATTCTCTAGAATGTTAAGTGACACTTTAACTGCTTGGTTTGGCTTGTAAGGGGCAGCAATGGGTGAGCACTTTTCCAGATGAGATAAACGTTGCAATTGCAGGGAACATGTTTTGCGGGTCCAGTTTTCAGTCCAGAGAGCCAATAGACTGGAGTCCTGAAAGTAAGTTCTTCTGAAATATTATCTGCTTAAACTATTTTAAAGGGTTGATATGGCTAAAGGCTGAGCGGGGAGGAAAGAGGGTCTGTCTCTCTTCCAGAGCTTTATTTCTCACTTTTAGAAGGTCCTAATTCTTATCCTCCCGAGAGCTGGAATTGCATTACATTTCCATCACAGCTTCCAGGCCCGCAAGTAAACTTTGGAGGAGCGGGAGAAATAGAAAATCTGTAAAGATTCATTATCATTGCAAGGCAAACTCCATCCTGTCTTTGCCGGGGGACGTGTGTACTTCAGACAAAGTTTGGGTTTGTCCTTCGCCATGGAAAAAGGCTCTTGCTCGTTTAGCGGAGGGGATTCGGTGTGGTTTATCCTGCTCGCAAATAGCCACAAATCTGGCCCGCGCCTTTGCATTGCAACTAGCTATATTCTGTCTGTGCTCTTCAGGTTGTTAACACCTTTTGCTTTTCATTCTTTTCACCTGCTTGCCAGAGAAATGCGTGCACTTTTTTGGTACTTTCGGCCTGTGTAGACACCGGGGGTTTTGCCCCGGGTTCCCCCCCCCCCCTTTTTCTTTTTTTTTTGTTTCCCTTGGATTTCGGTTTTTTTCCAATACGAACGAGTGTCCTCCTATTTCCGTAGTTCGTTTCTACCATATGGAGACACTGAATGACCGCTGTTATGTCTCCAGCCTGTCTTGAAGTGCTACAGAAAAATAATCAGAGAGGCTGCAGTTTGCATACGGACCCTCCAAACCTTATGGAACCCACCGATATCTCTCCCAGATTTCCTTCTCTCCCTCTAAGGCTGACATCGGTCTGGAAAAGGCAGGCAGCAACCTTTTTCTTGGGGAAAATAAACAAGTTAACGGGGAAGGGCAGGAGAGCAGAGCCTGCCATGGGAAGGGGGGCGAGGGGCTGCGCCGGGCAGGTGGTCCCGGCCGGAGGCTCCGGCTCCGCGGCCGCGCAAATAAAGCAAAATAGAGCAAAATAAGGCAGATATAGCAAAAATAGAAGGGCGGGGGGGACACCTCAAAACAACCCTGGAGAGGTTGGGGTTTTGGTTTTGTTTTTTTTTTTTTGAAGCCGAGGGGCCACATCTGTAGCAGAGGTGGGGGGACAATTCGTCCACACCTGAACCAACTCGCATCTATTCCCCCCCCCCTCCCGCTCGCTCCTTAAAAAATTAAAAAAAAAAAAAAAGTTCAAAGCAGAGGTACGGGGGGTGGGGTGGGGTGTTTCTAGAATTTGGAGCAGTCAGAAGCTTCTTCCCCCCCCCCCCCTTTTTACGGTAAGACAACATTTGGTGGACACATGTCCGTCTCTTTTACACAAAGCAGAATGTCCCCCTTTAGCACACTTTGGAGATTGCTTTTCCTTCCTTGGGCTGTTTTTCCTGTCCTGCTCCATGTGTCTCCTAATATCTTTGCTATCATCATTTGAACTTCTGGCTTCTCCCTGAGCAGGCAGAGGGTGGCCAGTGCAATCCTGCAAAACCTCTGCTCTGAAAACCTGTAAACACAAACGCAAAAGCTGGAAATTCAAGGAAGGGGAGCAGGGTGCAGGGAGCCTTTCCGAGTCAGCAGGCTGGTTTTATGCTGAACAGCCTCTCCCTGATCTCTGTGCAAGCTGGACGCCTGCTTTTCGGTTGATAATAAAGATATTTTACGGGATCCTAAAGGGCTTCGCTGGCATGGTCTTTAAAGGTGAATTCAGCCGCACAAACACGACGGGCGGTTTGTCTACACGGGGTTAGAAGCCCTTGGAGGAGAGGGGATGTGGGGAGAGGTGTGTGAGTGTGTCGGGGTTAGACCAAGGGATGGCCTGAGAACGCTTTGCCCTTCTGTGCTGGGGACTAGAAATAATTTCTGCTGATTCAAATGATAACGAGCGATTTAGGCAAGAAAAGTGACATCCCTCCCCCTTAATGTATGTCTGAAAATGGAACCATACGGTCAACGCACGCATGTACCCACGAACACCGTGTTTCCAAAAGATATTCATCCATCCATGTAGCCATAGATCTATCCATCCATCCACCTTTTCCCTATCCATCATCTGCATCACTGTCCGATCCCCACATCCCCACCCAAAGGGATTCTTCTTTTCTATAGTCCCAGGCAAACTTTCCTTCCAAATCCACTCCAGTCACAGGAGGCACAAGGTGTTGTTTTTTTTTTTCCTCAAGTAACACCATTTCTAATCCCTTGGTGTCCACAATATGTTATTTCAAGGAGGAAAAAGCAGACCAGGATAGCCAGAGCAAGGGGAATTTGCAACGCAGTTTAGGTACAGGACATTGCAGCAAGGAGGAGATGTCTGTATGGGTCACAACAGGTAACGACCCTTGATTTGAGCATCCTCTGCACAGGGATGGCACCGGGCCTGTGCCACAGCGAAGGAGCAGGGACTGGATTTTATTGCTGGCATAATAATATCATCCTTCCCATCGGTCACAAAATCCCCTGTCCTCTCCATCCACAAGATCTGCTTTCTACCTGCAGCGTGTAACATGTTTTTTTTTTTTTTTTTTTTCTACAAGCTGGATTTTAGGGGGTTTATTTGCATGTTGGATTTTTTTTTTTCCCCCCTACATGGTGTTAATATCCAGCTTCCTGTGAGGCATGAGGAGGTATAACTGGCTCCCATTTTACAGCCTGGAAGGGGTCACAGGCTTCCCCCCCGCCCCCCATCCTTTAAAGGAAAAAAAAAAAAAAAATCTCCCTGTTGCTGGTGAAAAGGAAGTATAAGGAGAGTAAACAGGAAAACGGAGCTCTGACCGTGCAGGTAGGCGGGGATTTTCCTTTGCATTTTTCATCGTTTCTCTCACTTTAATGGCATACATCAGACATGGGCCAATTAGTTCTTCTGTAGCTGTAGAAGACAGAATAAATACAAAATGCTTTAATATCAAGTCTAAGAATACGGAGAATCTCTAGGACATGATTACTGCCTAGGAAGGAAAATCTCTTTTTTAAAACCTGTAGTTGTGCAGACCTTTATGCCATGACTCTGGATACAGATGGGGAAAAAACCTCTTATTTAAGGACTCTCCAAAACGGAGTCCAGTGGTGACCTGGGTAGATGGGGGCTGTTTGCCCCAAATGTGCAAAGTCTCCCACAGCCTAGAGGAGCCTCCCCGTGCGCTCACCTGGCTCACGGCATCTCTCACTCACTAAAAATGGGTGCAACCATATCCACTTTTGCCTTTTTTTGCCCCCTGTCCTGTCTCTTCAGCCTCT